TGCTCTTCTCCGAGCCTGACTTCTTGGGGGACCACGTCGCCTTCGAGGAGGACCAGGACGCCCTGCCCGACGCCTTCGTCCCATGCTCCTGCAGAGTCCGCGGGGGCAGGTGGGGTGTCCCAGGACCTGGGGACACGAATGGGGACATCGCCCTGGCCAGCAGCCCCACAAGCACCCATGGGGGTCCCCGGGAGGGTGGGCAGGATGGGGTGCTGGGGACTGGACGGGTGCCTACCACAACAGCCACGTCAGCCCGGGCCCGCTCCTCCCGCCAGCTGGATCCTGTTCGACGGGCAGGCCTTCGCCGGGGAGCAGCACGTGCTGTCCGAGGGCGAGTACCCCACGCTCAGCGCCATGGGCTGCCTCTCCTCCACCGCCATCCGCTCCTTGAAGAAGGTCCCGGTGGTGAGCACCAGCCCACCCTTCCCTTCCCACCAGCAAAAGGGCAGAACCCCCCCACCCAGGAAACCCCTTTTGCCCCTCCTGTCGGTGCCCCCAGTGCTGGCTCTCCAGCCTTGGAGCCCTTCTGCACCCACGGGTGCTCGCTCTTCCCGCACGCCCCCCCTCATGCCTCACCTCTTCCCCCACCCCGCAGTTTTTCTCGGAGCCCTCCATCTTCCTGCACGGGCTGGAGTGTTTCGAGGGGAAGGAGATCGAGCTGAACAACGAAGTGCGCAGCCTCCAGGCAGAGGGTTTCAACAACCACGTGCTGTCGGTGCGGGTCAAAGGCGGGATGTAAGTGAGCCCCAGCCCTGCGCCCCCCCAGCCATCCGCCCACTGGGGGTGACTGTGCTCTGCCCATCCCATCCCACCCCATCCTGTCCCATCTCATCCCATCCCGCCCCATCCTATCCTGTCCCACCTCATCCCATCCCATCGCATCCCACTCCACCCCATCCCATCACATCCCATTCCACCCTATCCCATCTGATCCCATCCCATCTGATCCCATCCCATCCTGTCCCATCCCATGTCATCCCACCCATCCCATCCCACCCTATCCCATCTCAATCCGTCCCATACATCCCATCCCATGTCATCCCACCCCACCCCACCCCATCCCATCCCATCCCATCCCATCCCATCCCATCCCATCCCATCCCATCCCATCCCATCCCATCCCATCCCATCCCATCCCATCCCATCCCATCCCATCC